AGGCCACAGTCTTTCAGTAACTCTTTTTCTCCTCTGTGCGTAGATGCAAGTAGTGCAAACGACAGGTGTGCCACTTTAAGAGAGACTTTACACTGTGTGCAAAGCAGCTGTGATTTATCTAAATGTAGCTTATACTTTCATTTTTGGGTTGTTTTGTTTTTTCTTGTTTCTTCACATGACAACTTCCGGTCGCACTGACCTGCTGTGACCCAGGATTGTTTGTTGCCCCCTATCTTGTTTTTACTTCCTATGGGCACGCTATTAAGCTGCTTTGGTGTGATACATGTGAAAATGTTAGAAGCACTAAGGACTATTATTGGGTCTGATTATTTAGGAGTTTTTGGCACGTCCAAGGGGACAGAGTCCAATGTAAGAAACTGTATCACATGGCATGGCATGGCATGGCATCGTATCGTGTCACATGCCATTGTCATATTTGCCATTCACTGCTCTGTGTCACTCTGTATTATATCTTGTATAATATATTCATGTTAATTCAGTGTTGTTTTAACTATATGAATGTTTTGTTGTGACCTGCCAAGGGCTGCATGTGAAGATTAGCTTTAAGGTGTTTCTGCTACAACACATCAAATGGCCACATTTATGTTTAATATGACACACAGCCCAGTTATAAGAAACACAGATAAATAAAACATAGTAAATACAAAAATGTTTGTAAAAGTCCCGGGATGAATTAAAACCCACTGAATATTTCTGAATTTATTTATTTGTACATGTATTTCATTCATCGACTAAACAACACATTTAAATAGAAACATAGTACTCGAATCTTGAATGAAAAAAGATGTGTGCTTGCAGCTTAGTGCCGCAGGAAGTTAAACCCAGGTGTCGCTGGAAGGTAAATGAGGGAGAAGAGGAGGTCATTCTGGTTTATCTGAGTGTATCAGTAGTTGAAGATCGCCTCAGCGGTGTGTTATCCAAGAAGTCATTTACTTCATTAACCCAGCCAGATCACTGAGGCCTTAGTAATCAACCTTGTCACACGTCCCATTAACTTCTCACTCCATCAGCACGACCCTCGCTCTTTCTCACACTCGTACACACATGCGCTGTCTGTATATACAACACACAAGTGCAGGTTATCACACACAGCTGCATGATCCTTGCATGTGCAACACACTTGTCTTGCACACACACAGACACACACTCCTTCTCTCTCTCAGCTAACCCCATTAGCTCTGTCAGTCCCAGGGGGTTCTGGGCTCTGATGAACCCTCGGCTGCCCTGTGAGATTAGTGGACTCCCTGAGAAAAGCCCTTCATTGATTGAATGTGAGTCTCCCCTGCTCGCAATGTCAGCTCAAGGTTAGCGTGTCAACTCTCAGAGCAGTCAAGTGCCTCTGCTTTGTTATGAGCATCAGTGTGTTGTTGTTATTGTAGCTCTGCTGACTCCACTTACCGCTTTTATTATTCATTTGTTTTTTTTTCCTCTCTCCAACGGCCTCCCTTAGAACATTTATTAATTGTTTAAATCACTTTTTCCTCTTTCTTTACTTCTTATCTCAATCCTCTCTCTCCCCATCGATGAAACCACAGAGGAGCTATCACCACATGAAAGCTTCAGCATTTGGTGAAGTGGTTTGAATGAGATTCACTTTTATGTATAGCAAATCAAGCACGGGGAAGCATTTACTTTGGCATCCCACTTGAGGGAATGAAAATCTCGCACACAAAAAGGCAGGCAGGGAAGAAGGAATGGGGGCAGCTCTCAGTCTGGAGAAGAGACACTCAGATAAATGACGAGGACCGGAGGAGACACATTGATCTTTTTATGTAGAACTTGATGAACATGAATGATGCACCAGATTTCCTGTAGCAGTGAATAGAGATGAAAGGATGATCTGGATATTTAGATCATTCAGGCAGGAGCGTTTGCCCTGCTCTGCTGTCTCCTTCCTCCCCGTCATAATTCAATATTTACAGTTTAAGCTGGAAAACTGCTCCCTCTTGGCTGCCTGTATCTGGTATCCATGGCAACAGTTTCAAGAACAGAGTGCCGTCTGTATGTGTGTGTGTGTGTGTGTGTGTGTGTGTGTGTGTGTGTGTGTGCATGTGTGTCTGTGTGTAATGTTTACTGATACCCTGCAATTGATTGGTTGTTGGGGAGCAGCTGTTGACCCCTCACTCTCAGGGGTCTCTTTGTATTCTAGCACACATCTCAAATCAATAGACACACATCAATGAGAACATACATATGCATGCAAATACACAACTTTATTAGTCTATATTTAAGGAGCCTACATATATTTTGAGGAAGATTGTATTTATCTTCCTTAAAACCAAATTTAAAAAAAATTGAAAGCTATCAATCCTAAAATTTGAGCCTAATTTTAAAGTCTCAATAATGCTAAGCTTCAACCAAAATTTGAATTAACCCGGGTCCTTTATGGAAGTAAAATGGAAAGTAAAACTATGCTAGAAAGCAGCAAATGGATAGAATCACTATGGCATTGACACTACAAACACAATTTACTGTACAAACATTTTAAACCACAGGCACAAACACACCAAACGGTTATGTGTATCTCGTCAATGTGCCGCAGCAGCAGAGGAAGTGAAAAGCAACAACACCCAATCCACTGATGGCAGAGCACATTTCTAACAACAAATACAAAACTGTGCTGAATATTTGCATGGTACTGAGCGCATTATCACAAATACCACCCCACCTAATGAAATACCTCCCAGTGGGTTATCCACACACACACACACACACACACACACACACATTCACACACACCCTTACGCTCACACATGCCAGGGCTGAGTAACAGCTATCTGTGGGGCACTAAAGAGAAAAGGTCATCTGACATCATTTGCATCACTTGCTAATGTTAAAGGATGTTTTCCATAAAGGAAAGGTCAGGGTTTGCATGGAGACACGATATAAACAATTTGTGACAATGATGAGTTAATGGAACAACTGAGGCTTGTTCAGGTTACATTAGTTTTCCAGTGTGATATAATTAGACATCTTAAGGGGAAAGCACCAGCGCGCGCGCGCGCGCACACACACACACACACACACACACACACACACACACACACACACACACACATACACACACAATAATCTACCTGTAATCATCCCCTCACACACCCACTCTTTCTTCCTCTGAATCAATGTGTTGGCAGAGTGTGTTGTGGCATCTTTTGTCTCACTGAAAACACATGTTGGATTGGACTTCATTATTCGCGGCCTGTCAAATTAAATCAGCAGCAGTCATCCCTTTGGTTCATGGGCAAAGCTTTTATTATGAAAAAGTCCACAGGTTTGGCAAATTTTTCATGTAGAAACTCCAAACAACATATTAAATGATTTTGTACTAAGTTATGACTCAGGGAAACTATGTAACAGTGTTCCAAGTATGTAATGTGACTTTCTCATTCTTCTTTTTAAGTCCCGACCATTTAATATGTGACACCCAAACCTAAAACTTTCAGTTTCAGTGTAACTCTAACAGAAGTATTTGGATATTATTTCTATTGTGTAATCACCTCTAATCTGTTTTTTATTTATTTAACACTGATTTGGGAGTTATTTTGATCTACTGTAACTGTCACCTTGAATCTTGAAGATGTTAAATATGGAATCTGTTGCATTCGTTGTCACATTAGGGTTTCTTAAAACACAATAAATGTGTTTTGTGAACCTGTGAATCAGTTTCCTCATATCTATCAAACTCTGTGCTCTTTGTGGTGCTGCAGTCCCGGCCAGGGACATCTAAACATTTTGAATAAATTCAAGTCAGGAGGGGCCCTTTCATTGTTTTCTTACCTTTCTCTGTGGTAGGTTCCTTGAGCTTCGCATTCAGGAACATGCAAGGCATGATCTAAATGAGTCTGGTACGTCTCTGGTGTAATATCTGGTGGCAAATTGGCCCAGAGAATTAGCAAAACTCAGACTTCAGACTTTTAACTATCTAGAGTCATCATTGGATGTTACACAAATAAATGTCAGACCCTTTCAGAGCCTCACTCTCCAAAACTTCTGTATTTATAGCAAACTTTGTTTTTTTTTAAATGCATCACATCACTGTGTCCTACAGCAGTAACTCGGTCAAAACATCAGCCTTTTAGCCAGATGGTGTTGTCCCACCTTGCACTGAAAAGTCCCAGAGGAGACCGCCCTGGGAATTATGGGAAGGTTGCAAAAGGAGACACGCGCCCATGCTGCCAGGTGGAGGCGATGTCGCTCCTCCACTCCTCTCCTCTTCCTCTGCTCTGCTCGGCCAGAGCTCTTAGTCTGCTGGGTGAGATCATTACCAGACACCAGGCTCCGGGACCTGACATTCACCGATCGGGAAAGCAGAGAGCGCGAGAGGGAGAGAGAGAGAGAGAGAGAGCGAGAGAGAGAGAGGGGCATAGGGAGAGAAAACCCTGATTTGATACAACCAGCGGAAGGAAAGCGACCTATACCCACCGCCTCCTTCATCGGATCCTCTGTCTCGTGAACTGACGGCGGAAAGCGCGGTCTTGTCGCTGACATTTTCCCGCTGGATTTGGGCTTGTAGTCGTATGCGGGCTTGTTTTGACTGCAGTAATAGTCCCACTCCCCCCTCCACCCCCCACCACCACCACCACCTCCTCCTCCTCCTCCTCCTTCCCTCACCAGCCGAGTAGCGGATTTGTGAGGGATCTGAGCGCTGTGCAGCTCCCCGAGTGACCAGCGATCCTGCAGGGCACTGGAGCCTCTCTGCACCGCCGCGGATCTCCACAACACGAGTCGATGCACCGGAGGAGCCTCCAAAGATCTCTTTTCTGACGGGAACTTGGACACAAGCGCGAAGTTTCCGATTGGATTTTTCTTCTTCCACATACGGCTACCTTTGCTCGCTTCTGTCATCAGGCAGCAAATCCTATTTTGGCTTTTTTTTTTTTTTTTTTTCTTTCCCAAAGCCCCGTTGACGCCATTTTCCTCGGGGTTTTCTGTCAAAAAATATCTCCACATAATCGTGGCTTCGTTTGACAGGTCCCCGGGAGGCTGTCATCCCATCCACTGCTTGGGTAAAAATGTGTCTAAATGGATTGTAAATGATCTTGATGAAATATTTACACGGTAGAGCCGAGTGTGTGACAACATTAGACATGGGTAAGTAGTCCCGGTCGACTGGTCACATTCCACACCTGAATACACCTTTGAATGTTTATATCAATGTGCTGCTGTTTGTCTGCTTTGCCGAGTCAACTCAACATATATCGTCAACGTTTCATGCAGTGGGCCATTTTTTTTTTTATACTTTAATCAACCTGAAAATTTTAAAGATTTCTTCCAGTAACATGCCAAAAAAAAAGAAAAAAAATCAACACACGCGCGCGCCAGCATACTTAGTCCACCACGCGCACAGTCTCGCACGTACACACAGAGGATCCCAAACAATGCTGAACTACTCAGTCTCAAGCTATTCTTACTGTGTGTAATACCTTGTTAATTAGGTGGCAGTAAAATAAAACAGCTAATTAGGTCAATGGGATAAAGTGTCCACTACACATTGATGAAGGAGCTGCTCAAACACTCAGTGTCTTTCTGCTGAGGTGGACCTCAGCTTCTTCACTGACAATGATAGGCCATCACATTGCAGAACATGTTTGTGACATGTAGCACGCTGGCAGATGGTTGGGACTGGTTCAGTATGGTCATGACGTCACATTTACCTGTATACATTGACATTTTTCGATTATTTGAGGTCGGATGTGTTTTATTTCTTCTACCTGTTTGGTTGATGTTAGGGGTCGAGGAGGGACAAATGTCAGATGCTGAGTGTTGTGAATGTTTTAAGCTACTGCTCACTAAGTATGAAAGTAGTGTGTCATATTTCTCAGTTTGCCTTTACCTTGTTAAGTTTTTTTGTTTTTTTGTTTTTAAGGCAATGCATAGAGTTGTCCCAATAGCAGTATGGTGATAGCTATAACAGTATCTGTATCAGCCTCAGATACTACTTACAAAATCATAACCAATTACCATTAAAAAATCAGCTGGTTCCAGGTCACTCATGTGTGCCGATAATAAATGACAACAGTATAGTGCTGTGGAGATTATAATGTTGGTTAAATGTAGAAATCACTTTTTCTTTCCTATAATATGTATATTTTTTGCTGCACTAATAATAGAGGGGTACAATTTATCAGCTGGTACCCAATTTTAGGTTTGGGTTTTCCAATATTGGAATTGGGACAGGAGAAATGGTATCAGAACTTCTATTGCTTCCCACATTGCAGGTATTTGACCTAGTGGAAGCCAAAGTTACTCAACTATCTATGTTAATAAATAGCTGATCAGTTTTTGCTTGACTGTCAGAAACAGCCTGGTCAAAAACTAATGTCCATGCTTTGGCAGTGTGGATGAAGGTGAGGTCTTGAAGTGAACTGCAGTACTCTGCTGTTATCAGTAGCCTCTAGAAACCACAACCACAGGACCAGAAGATAAATAGACAAGCCTGAATGAGTCAGTGAAAGTGAGGAAAAATGGTCAGGTCTGTAGGATTTGTGGGAAGGGAGAGGGAAGAAATGAGCAATGGATAAAAAGCAAGAAAAAGAGTGAGAATACAGAGGTGTGACCAGGTGGAAAAGAATTGGGTTGAGTGATGGGTAATAGAGGTGATGGAAACCATCAATCTCATCTTGTGAACAAGTTATAGGGGTTTAAAGTGAAAACTCTAGCCGTGCTTTTGTGGCGTAATAGTATGAAGTAAGCTATTAAAGCCCCCCTATTAGGTAATGAGATGCCCATGCCACCATTGAATTAAAGCATGAGAAATCGATTAGGTGTATCCCCCTTCTGAGCTGGATACCTCGGGTCGAAACAGGATCACAGAGAGGGGGAGGAGGGAATGTGAACAGGATCCAAGGACAAATCTTACTGTTGGCAGGCGCTCTTAACGGAATATCAGCACTGGAGCACCTTTTGGCAGAGTGTACAGAAAGAGTGAGCGAGTGAGGAGGGAGGGAGGGAGAGAGAGGCTAAAGGAAAGAGGTAGCACAGAGAAGAGGGGAGAAAACAGAGGTTTGGGGGGGGGGGGGACAGTTGGGGAGAAGGGGAGGTGTTTTTTGCTGACAGCCATTTTGTGGCTTCTGCTGCAGTTAAAATGGTTTAACATTCATCTGCTTGTGCCGAGGTAGTTAGGTGAGGATGGTTTTAGTGCTACCTGGCATATGGCTCATCTAGAGGAGTGTGTGCTTGCCCGACTGCACAAGGCCATCATTTTTCTATAACGGCCACCACACATGATTGTCCTTCCAGCTGAACACATGCCTGTGCCATCCATGCTAAGCAAGGGATAGTAGGGTTTCTATTTACCTTTTCGTATCAAAGGGAGAATTTGGTAATGTTCACTTAAAAAACAGAATTTGTCTTTGATGTGGACAGGGGAAAAAAAGATTGCTTCCTTCACCTTGCCCCGCTCCGAGGCAGAGGTCTAATAGACTCCGAGCCAGAGAAGTCATGCTCCTCCATTGGCTTTGGAAGCACTATAAGTCTGGGGACATACCTTTTTTGATTCGTCTCCAACCAAGGATTTGATCCTTCTAAAAAACATTTGTTAACTTGATTGCAACATTCGCTCGAGGGCCAGAATAAAAAAAAAAAAAAAAGAGAGAGAGAGAGATAAATGAGGAGTGAAAATGGCAGGCAGACAGTGTTCATCATTTCATGAGATACTCATCCTGTGCCAGGGCCGGTCGAGCCTCTACTCCACTCTCACATCAAAGGAGAGCAGAAAAAAGGCTCTTCACCTTGTGCAATCAAACGGGCGTTTGCACTGCTTTTGGATGTGTGAATGTGTGAGCCTGAGTGTGTGTGTGTGTGTGTGTGTGTGAGCATCTGTCTGCATGTGTGAGCTATTTGTGAGTCCACCTCAGGCACTGGGCTGCTGGGTATGCAGCCTTAAAAGGTTGTGTTTCTGTTGCCATCCCTCTCTCTCCTCCTCTCTCTCTCACACACATTGCACACACACTCAGTCTGTTTTGTCTGTGTGTCCGTATCATTCGCCATCTCTGTTCTGTCTGTCTGCACTCCATTATGGATGCTTTATCATAATTGTTTTCAAAGGACGAGGCTGAGTGTCTCATTCACAGCCTCTCACATCCAGCACAGGGAGCGACCTTATGCTATTTGAGAGGGAAGCTGCTTGGTTAGCGCTGCTAGTTTTTGAGAACATAATAAAGCTATTTATGCAGCGAGTCTGGCCTCTTACAATCACCCTGCTGTCTGAGGCTGGTCGAGGTGTGCATATGTGTGTAAGAGCGAGAGAGGGTGGGGGGGGGAGAGAGAGAGGAGACAGGGAGGCTCAGGCTGGGCAAGGGAGGCCCGTGGAGGGGTCAGTCTTACATAAACTCTAAGCTAACAGAGAACTAACACAGCTCAGGGCAGCGAGCAGGGAGGAGAAGCAGTCATGATCCAGACTGAAGATCGTGCTAAAATATATATATGACGCCATTTTGTTGTCACACTGGGTAAATGTTGTGAGAGGAGTCTTAAACAGCACCACCCATGTGGATTGGTCTTTCTTTTTTTTTTTTTTACGTGTGCGTACGTACGTGTTTGATGTTGTAGTTGGCAGCTGTCTCTTTTTCCTGTCATTGTCCTCAGTCAGTCACATGACACACAGGGTGGCTTTCACACATGCCATGAGGCCGAGTCACCGCGCTGACATTAGGGACAGGGAGGATCCTGGAGGACCAAAAAAGGTCATGTGGGCGCTGTATGATCAGTAACTGAGCCCAGACTCACTGTCTTTGAGTTATCCTTGTACAACTTTGAATACTTAATAGTTATCAAGGGCGACTATAGTGTCATGGTATTGCACGAGTTAGCTCATCAAACGCAAATTACCTTTAGTGCACATCAACTTTGACCAATTTCCAAAACATGCTGCATGTTTTTGGACTGATTCTCCAAGTAAGCCATGATTTGCATAATAACAGAATATGGAATTTAATTATCTCGCAGGGACTGCCAAGATTGGTAATCTATCAATATAAACATTTAGGCTCATTTTCTATGCATCAGTGTTGCTGTTTGGTGTAACCCTCTGCAGCATCTGTAGCTGAGATTTTAGGCTGTCCAAAAGCAATGCACTCAAAATTTCTGTCGCCATAAAATCCAACACAAAAAGTGAGACAATAGTAAACTAATATGAAGACTAATGAGAATATGTTAGTTTCTTTTTTCCTAAAAGGTCAGTGTTGGGCAGCTTAAGTGAAGCTTGGAAGATTTTCTTGAGGCAACAAGAAGAAATCATCTTCCTCAGAGAATTTCAACCATGAAAAGGAGGATTGCTCTATAAAAACAAAACAGCCTAAAAACACCAGCAAGTTTTGGAAGTTCCTTTTCATACCGCACTTATTGAATGAACTTCCAGGAAGTTAGGAAATCAATCAAATAATTTCTATGGGTTTGGAAAATGTTTGGCAGCAATTTTGAGTGATACGCTTAAACAGTCCAAACCACTTTTGGTCCTTTAAGCCTTTTTCATACTTAACCAGCATGGGATCCACCAGAACCTACACCCAGAACCAGTATGAGTAAGCTCGGGTGGTTTCAGATTGGCAAACTTGACTGTTAAAGAGAGAGCAGAGTGGAAACAGGCCTTTCCCTTTTTATTTAATCTTGCAAAGGCAGAAGTAAAACTTTGACCTCAGCGTTTGACAATGTTTGTGTGCGGCCTTAAATGGTTGAACTGCTGCTGTGAATTACAATTGTTGTTCAATCACACTGTAAGCACAGACAGTATTGAAATCTAGCTGGGCTTTCTTTTGATTTCTTCCCAATGTTCAGAGTCATCGAGGTAAGGCTAATTGGCATCTACCATATGTGTGGATGTGAGCCTGAATGTGCCAGCCTGTGATTGACCGGTGACCTGTCCATGTTGTACCCAGCTTAGTGTCTCCAGCCCCCAGGGACCTTAAAGGATAAGCGGGTGTAGCTGTAAGCATGTTCTATGAGGCATTATAAAGGGGATCAGCTGTTAGTACAGTAGCGTGGGCTGGTACAGAAGAGAAATACACACACAGCTAGTGTTAAATACCAACAGTAACCATGTCAGTGAGGGTATTAGCAGAGGCAAGGGGGTGGGTAATTCTATATTGCCCCCATCAGGTTGGGTAATACCATATACAGGTTTATATGCCGTAAACCTTTTGTGCTCCCAGTTCGTTGTAAATCTGCAGCAGGCTGTAAGCTTTTATTTGAGTCGTGTCCGCAGGTAGAGGTCCAGTCTAGGTTCACATCAGTGTAAATGATGTTGGTCTAAGCTCGGTGTGTGAGCGCATTCCCCACTTCCAGCTCAGTCATGCCTCATGTCATATTGACTGATGGGATTCCCTGGAGCTGTAGTGAGAGATGTAGTCCAGTGTTTGTTTGGGTTGCTTTCTGTTTATACGCCTGTGTGGAAGTAAGCCTGAGTGAATGCATATGCCACCATGTGTACTGATTGAAGTCTGTCTCGTCGATCTGTATCTGCATGTGCAATGATCCAAAAAGGGAAAAAAAATGATCTAAATTCTCTAACAAATGGCGGACACAACCTCTCCTCTAGAGAGCACAAATAGCTGCAGGGGTGTAGAAGTATACTCAGTGACAGCAACACTGTCATTTCTGTGTATTTCTGTGCATAACTATATGCTTTATTTAATGCTTGTGTGTTTATTAATGCCACTTCATGCATGTGTAAAACAGTTCAGACGCTGTTTTTTCCAGACCAGCTCGTAAACCACATCTGGGGAAAGAATTAGATTCCTTCTCTCCGTCTTACTCTGCTGGGTTCACTTCTTCCCATGTGTGATTCCCCCCCCCCCCCCCTTCTTCGCTGATCTACTGAAAGAAAAAGAAGAAAAACAGAAGTCAGCTTCTTGTGTCCTCAGGCTAACTTCAGCCTGGTTTAAGAGCAGAAAAGAGGAATGTCTTATTTTGCACTGATCACTCCGTTGTCTGCACAGCTCTGCTTCAGATCCGTGGTAGGGATGGAATGAGGGACGCAGGGAGGGAGAGGGGGTAAGCGAAGGGTGAGTAAATGAGAGAGTAGGAGGAGCGAAAGGCAAGTGGGAGTCCAAACTGAGATTGTTTTTGTGAGGCACCGAATGTAAATGAGAGAATGGCAGCATGCCTCCACAGCTCTGTGCAGCGTGTGTGTTTTTCTTCATGCATAACAGGCAGCTAATGATGGTGATGACAGCAGACAGGCCTGTGCTCAAAGCTAGCTCTGCAGTGTAAGCTATGAGGATGACTCTGTTTAAAAAAAAAAAAAAATCCCTCATCGTATTGTTCACCTGCTTTCTCCGCAGATTGTCCCTGGCTTCGCCGTGTTCCCGCGGGACAACCAATCCAACTCCAGTAGTTGATTGACAACAACCAACCAGCCCAACTTCCCTCTGTTCTACGTCTTTCTATTGGCTGGCTAGTACAGCTTTACGAATCCTTATTGGCTCAGGTGGCAGTGTGGATGGAGCCAAGGGATCTGGTTGGCTCGGCCCGACCCAAAGAGGCGGAGTTACAGGGAGGCAGGGTGGGGCCAAATGAAGGGAACCAGCAAGGAGCAGGGGGCATGGGTTTGGTTCGCAGTGATGATGTGATTCATGGTGCCATCAGCGAAGGGGAGGGGCTAGAGGATCAAGGGGAGGGGCTTTTGGAGGAGCAGGAGTTTTCTATCAAGGAAGCAAGTTTCCAGGAAGGAAGTCTGAAGCTTAAGATCCAGACCACCAAGCGCACCAAGAAACCCCCCAAGAACCTTGAAAACTACATTTGTCCACCTGAGATAAGGATGACCATCAGACCTTCAGTTGGAGAAGGCAAAGGGGGGCGACAGGGTCGGGCAGGAGGCGGGGCCACATCGGGGCGGGGCCAAAAAGATGAAGAAAGAGGACCCCCACGGAAAAGGGTAAGTTGCTGTCCATGAAAGTGTTATTTTGTGTGTGAGCTTTTCATAGATGCATAGTATGACATGTATCATGTGTTTTTTATTTACAAGTTTGAGTCAAAAACTCTGTTGGCTTCACCATCTCTGAATTCACCACTGCCGCTCTTATGCGCTCTACTTCTCACTGTACCTCTTGCTCTCAGTAGCTGGTTTCCCCGCTTGGTTACACAGGGTCAAAGTTTGCTGTGTAATTGAAACCAGTCATGGCTAGCTGAGATCACACAGTAACACACACACACACACACACACACACACACACACAGGAATACAACACACACATAGAAGCTGAGAATAGGGCTGACATAAGCAAGTGACAGCTGGTGTCTGCTCTCTCCATTTGTGGTCATATACACAGAGATCTCCTCTCCTCTCCTCTCCTCTCCTCTCCTCTCCTCTATGAGATCAGTTGTTTTGGGTCACGCCCTCTTCACCTCCTCTCGGCCATCACACCCTCTAAACCAGTGTTTGGTGTGTGTGATACTGTGTAGGAACAAGGCCTTTGGGGAATCTTGTGTTTGCAGGGTGTGTTGACCTACACAGTCGGGTGTGTGTCTGTGTGTGTCTGTGTGCGTGCGTGTGTGTATGTATGTGTGTGTGTGTGTGTGTGTGTGTGTGTGTGTGTGTGTGTGTCCAAACCTGACAGCCATCTCCTTGTCTCAGAGCTTGACAGGTCCATCAGTGAAGGTGTTGTTTAGTCGACATGAAGCTGTGCCGATTTTTTCTCTTGTGCTTCAGTCTCATGAGTTTAACTCAAAATCAAGACACTTGTGAGGCGTCAATTATCAATAATTGAGTCTTGCATGGTCCGATAATGTGAATCTTTTCTCTATGTCTGGGTTGTGTCAGGCTCTGATGTGATTTATTTTTAATTCAGAAAAATGGCCTAATGTATTATAATAAACATCTAATTTTCTTTAAGATATGAGGTCTATAAAATCAGATAATTAAATAGAATACAGTAATCAACCAATTAGATTATGTATCCAGCCCATCCTCTCGTGGAGGCTCCCGTTGTCTGAAAAGCCAGCAGGGTATATGAATGTTTTCTACATTGTTTATATATTGTATATCTGTTTCCAAACTTGGGTGGAAGAATTCATGAAATGGTAGGAAAAAAAACGTGTTTACATTTTGAAAGAAAATAAGGAACTCGTGGTAGATCGACTCTGGAAAAAGGGACTTGAAACTGATCAAAAAGTCAATGAAAAGAGCTAAAGAGAACCTAAAAAAGGGGAAATATTTGATGTCATGAGGTGGAGTTTACTTTTGACTTGTCAACTAAGCTGTGTGAAATTAGCCAATCAAAAGTGCGAAGGTGTCGTTGTTTTCCACCAAACCTGCTGTCTGTGCGCTAGCTTAGCTACGTTATGCCTAAAGGGACAAAATAGTATGCGATCTAAAAGAAACGAATGCATTCATTTTCCGACCTTAATCTCACAAAGGGTTAGCCATCTGATTCTGTATCAACTTCAAGGTTCAAGGTTCATTTATTGTCATTTCAGGAACTTGTGTTATTTTTTTTCCTCTCCTTGCTCCTTTTTGTTTATGGACAGTGTATAAGTATTTTGAGACAATATTGTATGATGTATGTTGTTGTGTTACTGTGTTGGAAATCATGCACTGAAATGAGAAAGTAAACCAAATATGAATGAATGAAAATGCTTTAGAGTGAACCCCACTCTCTAAAGTCTGGGCATCCACTCCTAATCCAGCCCCCCCCCCTCCTCCTTACAGTGTGATTGACAGAGGTTGTCATAGTGACAAGGGAAGCAAGCTGCTCTCTTATTGAGATTTGGGGATGAAAAGGTGGGGGTGGGGTGGAGGATGTGTTGGTGTTGATTCAGATCAGTTTCAATCCTGTATCCCCTACATGCTGTCTTTCAATCATACACACCCCTTCCCCCACTCTCTCCCCCCACACCCATCCTTTCCCTCCACCCATCACCTGCCACCCCAAGGGTGTAATACAGGCAAGCTCAGTGGAGAAGAACGGGTAAAGAGTGAGGCTAGGCTGCTCTCTGTGCTCTCTGTCTACCTCTCGTGTGTGTGTGTGTGTGTGTGTGTTGAGGTTAAATACTCGCTTTGTGGTGTGTGTGAGGCTGTGTGTCATTAGGGGAGAGGGAGGCGAGAGGGGGAGCAGATGGACAGCCTCTGTGCTGTATTGTGTCCACATCTACTCTCTCCCTCTTTTTCTCTGTATCTTTTCTCTGTCCCTCTTTCTCCGCTTTTCCTCCTAAGTCTTTTCTTCCCGCGTGTCTTCCTCTTTTCACCACTCTTTTCTTCCTCTTCCTCCCTCTTTCAGCCTCTGTTTTCTCGTGGCAGATGGCAGCGTGGGGCAGCAGCAGCAGAGCAGAAGCCAAGAGTGGGAGCAGGAGACGGGGGGAAAGGAGAAGGGGGTTGTGGAGGAAAGAGGAGGAGAAAGGAGGTGGGGGTCAGGCATATGGAGAGCCTGGTTAAGGGGCCCCCTCAGAGGGAGTGTGTATGTGCGTGTGGTAGTGTGATGAATAGAAGAAGGGGAGAGGCAGGATACAATAGTTGCCCATTAAGACAGAGATTTGACTCTAATAGACAGAGAAGGGGAGAGACAGGCAGATGGATAAGTAGGCAAACATGGAGCAAAAACAAGATATGGAAATCATGTTTTTTTTTAACATATCTTTCTTTTGTAGAAGCATAAAAAAATCAATTGTCACAAATTCTCTTTTTTTTTCGTTTCCAACTTTTGTTTGTTAAGTGATAGGTTATCGACACAGGAAAATGAAAAAAATAACAAAAACAGTACAAACCAGATAAAGACTTGCAAGGGGTTACATAAGGGCCTGTGTTGACAGACGATGCTTTTTGCGTTGTCAGTGCCCAATTTCAACACAAAACCAATGTAGCTCAGTGTTTTCAGCGCTCAGCATCCAGAGAGCAAAAACGCCCTCTGCAAAGTTTACAACACTTCAACCCTTGGTGCAGCGCAGCACTCATCAATGTCACTTATACCTCACCAACCTATCAGAATCAAGATGGGGCAGGACTTCTGATGTCCGCTTTGTCAACAACAATCTGATTCATCTATTCGAGAGTGCAAGTTCCAGGTCTAGAGCTGCTGCTAATGCCAGGAAAGGATTCGCTTACCGTATATTGTTTTAATGTTTTATTGGTGATATTTCTTCGAATAAAGGGAAATATTGAAGCACATGGAGCTATTAAAACCTTCACCTTTGTATCACGATCATAGCATCTATAACAGGAGGGTCAATGAGCAGGCGCCATGTGTCAGGGGACAGACCCACGCACACATTAAACGGGATATGCAGGGGTCCCCTTCTGTCTCCAGCTGACATCACACACATGCTGAATGTCCCCTCACACATAGCTCTTTGTCTGCGCGTGCTGTGTGTATTTGCAACATGAATGTGTGCAGATTGGGTCCTGGGTCAACCACTGCATCACTCCTCCAGACGCACATAACCACACGTGCGCACACACACACACACACACACACACACGTAGACAAATGTTTACTGGTCCAATGCCTACACATGCAGGAGCACACTTCAGCTAAAATGCATCCACTGTCTTTCTCACATACACACACATACGTAGACATACAAACACAAATCATGTTGAACAGTGATTGCAGTTAGAGAGTGTTTTCCTGGTTATCTGTCCAGTTCTCTGGACGTGCCAAATGTGGCTCTTAATCCATTTCACTATCTGTGGGGAGAGATAAGCCAGAGCTTTTCCAGGAGTCCAGGCCAGGCTGTGTGATGATGTTGTTGTGTGTATGTGCATGTGTGTATTAGTTTGTCTATGAGAAACCCTTACGCTCAACACACACTTATCTTGTCTTGACAGCCCCTCTGCTTGGTGGTCCCCCTGGCTGTGTGTGTGTCTGTGTGAGTGTGTGTGTTGCCGCTTGGTGGTCTCCCAGTAGTGTCTGGGATTATTATGTGTTAGTCAAGTGCATTCACAAGGAAATTAATGCTGCCACAGTTGCCACACTAAGTGTGTGCGCATGCTATGCCTGCACATGCGTGTGTGTGAGATGGTTAGCCTTTTGATGTGAGCTTTTTTATCCCTGGCTGAGATGGCGGTTGGTGACCTGAGGGACTTGATGAGCTCATAAAATGGGTGTGTGTGTGTGTGTGTGTGTGTGTGTGTGTGTGTGTGTGGGATGCATTATGCATCCTCATAATAAGACATTTTTGATTGAATGTGTCTTGACAAGAAATGATCACCTCTTAAACAACCTGACCATGTTGGAATTTTTAGTTTTTGTCCTTTGTGGTGAAAATAACCAGGCTTTTATTTTGGTCCATGTGTGTGTGGTTGCGAGCACACACACATCCTTAGTGACAGTCTTTGAGTATGAGCTGGGAATGCTTTAAGGGGCGTTTCCCTGTGGCCGATGGGGGATGGGACATGTGCATTTGTGTGCGCACATGTGTTTGTGTGTGTGTGTGTGTGTGTGTGCGCTTGCATGCTGGGGAGGGGTGAGTGATTTAGCACCACTGAAACACCAGCTGTCCATCTGTGTCTGACCCCCTACACACTCAGAACACACACCAACACCCACGCTTACACACAAGCTCAACACACATAGAAACATCTCCTCACGTCCAACCTCTGATCTATTTCTGAAGAAAGTCAAAACACAATCTGTTCACCTGTCTTTCTTATAAGGATCGCACACACCAAACACACACACACACACACACACACACACACACACACACACACACACACACACACACACACACACACAGAAACAGACATGCTCTACATAACTCTAAACAAAATTTGGTCCCTCATCAGCTCTGCAGTTGTGTTGGTGCTGCAGTCTATCCACAATAAATGACTCTGCAAGGTCACTCCTATTGAGTACATGTATACATACACACACACACACACACACACACACACACACACACACACACACACACACACACACACACACACACACACACACA